AGATTGTCTTGAGAGCACTGAGATTTCTTCTGAGTAGTACGCCGATTGAGTGGCCTTGACCCAAAAGAGTCGTGAGTCTTCCATGCTTTTAGCTGAGATACAGGCTGCTGGTGTCCAGTCAAGCTCTCCTGAGAGCCTCTTGAGAAATCTATTGCAGAGAGCTGTAACTCGGAGCAACCTTTTGAGCAATGAGTATCGATGAATGAGATCCCAATGATAATTCGGAGAAGATCGTACCGCGTGATGTGCAACACGAGCACGAGCTTCTTCTGCACATGCGTCATCAGGAGTTGTATCGATCTGAGCTGGCCATGATGCCACTGATTGAGAGAGCCATGATGGTCCCGTCCACAATAGAGAGTGCTTTTCCAGCTGATCTGTGGTTATCCCACGCGATGCACAGTCAGCTGGGTTTGATGTGCCAGGCACAAACCTCCAATGAGCGTTCCTTGAGAGTTCCTGAATTTTGATCACGCGGTTGCATACGTAATCTTTCCATCTTGATGGATGAGCTTTGATCCATGTGAGAGTTACCTGAGAGTCCGTCCACAAGGTTGTCTTATTTATGATTATGTTTAGAGTAGCGCAAACATGATTCATGAGCGTGGAGAGTAGCAGCGCTGCTGAGAGTTCTAACCTCGGGATGGTTAGCCGCTTGAGCGGTGAGACCTTCGTCCTTGAACAAATAAGAGAGACCTTGGCGCCAGTGGACGACGAGTTAACAACGAGTTACACAACGGCTGCCATTGCGAATTGCGATGCATCAGAGAAGCCATGCAGTTCAATAGCTGAATTAGAGAGCGTTTTGAACCAACGTGAGATGGAGAGTCTGGCCAGACTAATGAGATCTTGTCTGATGCTGAGCCATTGTGAGATGAGCTGTTTCGAGAGTGGTTAGTCCCAGATCGAGATTATGCAACCAGAGAGCCTGAAGAAAGATCTTAGCCTTAATTATGACTGGAGATGCAAAGCCTAATGGATCAAAAATTTGTTCTACTTCTGAGAGGACAAGACGTTTCGAGTATCGTTTGGAGGGAGAAGCCGAGATTGTAGAGAAGTCAAACCTGTCCTGTGGAGGTGACCCTCGAATACCAAGGATTTTGGTATCGCAGTCGTCGAATGAGATGCCTGAGGTCTCGCCAAGCTCAGACGAGACCTCTCTTAACAGTTGCTGAGAAGTGGAGTGCCACTTAGCCAGCGGGAATCCGCCCGCATGGCAGAGCCGTATGAGTTGTTGAGCAGTCTCCACGAGCTGTTGCACTGTGTCGGATCCTCCGAAGATGTCGTCAACATAACGCCCATGATGGTCGGTTTGACAGCAAGAGGATACTGAGAGCCTTCATCTTCAGTAAGCTGAAGGAGCGTTCGTACAGCTAGGAACGGTGCTGACTTGGTTCCATACGTGACTGTAGTGAGCTGAAAATGAGATTCAACCTGCTGTTCATTCACCCACACGATGCGTTGCAGATCCTGGTCATCTGGATGTATCTTGATTTGCCGGTAAATCTTGGTGATGTCAGTCGCAAAGAGATACTTGAGTTGACGTATCCAAATGAGCAAGTCGAAGATGTTGAGCATCAAATTAGGACCAGCGTGCATGATGTCATTGAGCGAGTGACCAGTGGAGCTGGCACTTGAACCGTTGAAAACAACCCTGAGCTTCGTGGTGGAGCTGTCTGGCTTAAGTACCCCATKATGAGGCAAATAGTAATGTGGCCTTCTACCAACTGAGATGTCATCGAGCTTGAGCATGTGCTGAGATTGTTYATACTCTCGCATKAACTRAKTGTACAATCGGTCGTACTGAGTGTCTCTGCCAAGTCGCCTGAGAATTCGTTGGAGCGATCGATGAGCTGTCTGATAAGAATCTCCCAGGACTGTTGGGGGCGATTTGAGAGGCATCTTGACGATGTAACGCCCTGTTGAGTCCCTTGAGTGAGTGGTCTTGAAGTGCAGCTCACACTCCTGCTCCTCAGGAGTAAGCGATGAGTTGTCCGATGATGGAGGTTCTTCTTGGACCCAGAACCGTGTCAACAACTCTYGCAAGGACGAGTTTGATACCTGAGAGCTGCCGAGATGAGTTGTCCTTGCAAGCGTGACYGGTGCCTGAATTGGGCCTATGACCAACCACCCAAAGATTGATAATTGAGCAATGGGAGTTCCTGCTGAGTACCTAATGATATTAGGCCTAATGAGTTGGCCGTAGAAGTCTGCTCCGATTATGACATCTACTGCCCTTGGAACGAGAAATTCTGGATCAGCTAGAGGTAAACCMTTYAGGTGTGGCCATTCGGGTTCCTGTTGAGTCTTTATGGCCGGCARGATGGTGGTAACTGTCTTTAACACGTGAGCTGAAATTGTCACCGTGAGTGGTCTATACCTTGATTGAAGGTTGAGCGTGACAATTCCTYTTGTTTGAGACGTCCGTGTTCCACCGACACCATAAACGTCCAGCCTTGAGTGCCTWCGTTGTAACTTGAGCTGCTGGGTGAGCTTTTCTGAGATGAATGAGATTTCTGATCCAGGGTCAATTAACAGACGAACTTGAGTTGATGAAGCTGCTGAGAGGACTATTGCTGTTGCTGTGGCCAGCAATGTGAGATGACTGAGATGGGCTGAGTTAGACGTGAGATGATCGCAACTCTCAAAGAGCTGCCTTGAGCTTCATGCTTGAGAGGACTTGGTTGACGAAGCGGGTGTGCTTGACACCTCCTGAGCGGTCTGATGGTCATCTCCTGATGGTTCGAAAATGACTAAGAGGTCTGCACCATGCAACAGGGTATGATGATAGTCGTTGCATGATTTGCAATGCATTCGGCTATTGCACCTCCTTAAATTATGCCTGCCAAGGCAATTGCAACACAGACTTCTGTCCCTGATCAACCTTACCCGTTGGTTGACCGAATAGCTTCGCATCTTTGGGCAGATCGCGATGTAGTGATCTTGCCCACAACAGTCACACGGATATGTCGTTCGTGACTGAGCTGGACGAGAAGTCTGATGAATAACCGACCTTGATGAGCTGGCTGGGGGCTGTTGAGAGGCCTGATGTGAGCTTGTCCGAGTAGTCTTAGCCCCTTTCGGCACATTGGGTTGAGCAGGCGATGATGAGGATTCTATGGTCTCCAATGTGCGGGCACGAGCGACCTGAAATTCGGTGAGCTGGCTGAGTGTCGGAAATTCATCTGTAGATGCAAGAGATGTCTCCCACCTCTCGCGAGTGTCTTGATCGAGCAGTCCAGTGAGAAGAGTGACCATGAGGCAATCATTATTGCTCTCCACTGTGAGTGTTCTGAGTGCCTGAGTGGTCTCATTAATGATGTTGACCATTTTGGTCAGYGAKGTGGCTTGGCGCCTTTGCATTGGTTTGAGGTTGAGCAGCCTTTCTAGATGTGATTTTATTATGAGACGTTTTTTCTCAAACCTTGATGTGAGCAAGGTCCAAGCCGAGTCGAATGATGAATTGTCAAAAGTGATGTTGGCAACAATTTCGTAGGCCTCACCTTGCATCGCTGACTTTAGATACTGGAATTTCTCCAGATCACTGAGATCCGAGCGGTCTGCTATCACTGAGCTTAACATGGCCTTGAAATCAGGCCATTTCCGGCAATCTCCACTGAATGTTGGCACTATTAATTCAGGAAGCCGGGAGCGGGCACGAGCACCATCTTCGGGTGAAGTGGGCTGAGTTTTCTGAGTGAGCTGTTCCTTAAGCCGACCAAACAATCGTTTTGCCTTTATCATCAATTTCGTTTCACTGATGTTGACCGTTTCAGTGAGGTATGGATGTCTTATTTGGTTGGGAGGCCAATTACATACTAGTTGAGCGTGCTCTTGGAGGAATGACCTATGCAGCTCCTCTAGCTGCTCGAGCAACATGTTCACCTCTGTCAGGGTGATCGATTCGGATGACCCACCAACCTGACTGAGTATATCCTCTATAAACACAATGATTTCTCTCTGAGCCTGCACACGTAACGTGAATTCTGTACTGAGTGCCACAGGCGATTGGCTCCTGGACCGGGTACCTTGGCCATGAGTGGACGTGGATTGTACCGCCAGGCTGGTCGGTTGAGCCGTTTGAGGGATTGCTTGATCATCACAACTGCTTGTGGTCTTGGCCTTTTTTTCTTCATCCCGCACAAGCACCATTGTGATGATTAAATGAGAAGTCTGTAGTGATAGTCACTGTTTAATTGAGATCGCACTGAGAGTCACTGATAATAAGTAGTGCTAATGAGAGAACAATGTCGCGATAGATAACGGCACTATTTAGTAAACATCGCGAACGAGATGACGATACCCCGCTACTCGGGAGTGAGAGTGGGGGAAGTATCCGCGGGTCGTGCGAAGCGAGCAGTGATCCCAGAGACTTTAGTTCGTTTGATGGACACAGGGGCGCAAAATTATCGTACGCGGCACAAAATTATCGTACGCCCCGGGAAAACGTTCATTATTCGTTTAGTCTAATCGGCGGTTCGATAGCTGCACAGGAACCCCAAAAGCATCCTTTTTTCCCCTTCCAACAGTATCGTTCCAGCAATGGCGGAACAACACAAACGATGTGTACCGAAACTTCGATATATCGATGCTTCGACATCAACGCATATCGAAAAGAATTCCACAGCACTTTTAAATCTATGCCTACATCATTGCTCCATTATTAAATGGAATGACAAGTTTTCTAGCTATTTTTTTCCTTCAATACTCATATAACGCATTACGATAC